CCACTTAGTGCTATACCTACACCTGCTGAGCCTGCTTCTGGATCTCCAGAAAGACGGTGGTGATATCACGCTTCGTGGTCAGTGGGGGATGTCAATGTAAGCACACTGCTGGGGTCTTGCAATCGAGTTTCTGAAAGGCGGCAGACATCAGTATCGAGGGACTCTAGGGTGAGCGCTGGACCGGCTTTCTGTCCATTCTGTATGAGTGTCCGAATGTTGAAGCACGCTAGACGGAACGAGGATTGTGGACGAAGGAGAGTCATTGGTTGAATATCGTAGTTCTCGGCGCTGCCGGACTCGCAGCCCGATTTTTGAACACATGTATTCGGTAACGGAAAGTAAGGGTAGTTAGCAAACAATTGACGTGTGATGAAGTCTCGTGAATGTAAGAAGCAGAAACGGTAGTGGATGAGCACCTTGTAGTACAGTCCGTGGTTTTGTGAGAAGTCGTGATACTACCCGGTTGCTGAAGCCGAAATAGCGAGTTGATTTAGAGGACCCCACCCCGAGTCTTTGGCTAAATAACCTACCCGCAAGGCAGCGGGGCGAATTCAGGGAATCGCGCCCATTGGGAGTCACTGACTGTATGTTCAGTTCATGCGTCTTTTGTTTGATAGGTCGCCAAACAGGGGCCCAATACTCCCCATGAAATCAGCACAATTGCTGGACTACAATGCCCCACCGAGGTGGAACACTTCGCCGGAACGAAGTACGCCCGAACCACCCAACTGGCAATACGAGAGACTAGTTCGGGAAGCCAGCCCGGGAATCATTGAGTGTTCGGCATTCCTTGATTTCCAACAGCGATGCTGGTATGTACTTTCCATAGCACAAGGAAATTCCTCCAGCCGACTGACACCCGCGGCGACGCTTTGTATGCTTAGCCGCTTGCCAACTAGCTGAGCTTGATGCTATGAATATGTATCAAAGTACGCTGGCTCTCGAGGTTAATGAGCGGTCACTGAACAGTCGAAAACCACTGATGTTCTCCAAACTTTGTTGACAGCAACTATTTTCCGTTTCGAATCAAAATGGCTTCAGCAATAAACAGACTTTTCCGGCGTCCGTATGAAATTCGTTCAGGAATGGAATTGATGACTGAAATCGTTTTCAGAGCCTGCGTGGTACGACATGGTGGAGCTATTGGATGACTTCGATTCACCTCTGTTAAACCACTTCGGGATTAGTTTGCGAATCCTATGAGATATGCGTGTCCTAATTCGACCCACGTATCATCCGCCGCCGGAGTACGAGTACTGATATACAAACATTTATCGTATGAATGGCGATTACCTTTCCCTCACATATTTGCGACTTAAAGCCCGTTGTATTATACCCTTGGTGGCTCTTGCGGTGTGTTCGTCAGACTCACCTTCACCTCGTGTTGTTTCCTGCCGTTTAAGGTAGTCCAGACAATCTCTGAACGGTTGTTCAAGAGACAGTGAAACTTATTTTGCCCGATCTGCGTTATGTCTGTTGTCTGTGTGCAGTCAGCCCCTGAAATACCATCGTGTCCACATAGTGGACACGCTCACCTGCACCACTATGTCATCGTACGTCAGCGTGATTTGCGTGAACTGCGCATGACACGTGTACTGTGTGTAGCTGAGTGTGGCGCTGGTCACAAATTCGTGTAGACCAAACTGCACATATGTTTCCGAAAATCTGTGCTTTGTACTTCTGTCGTGAACCGGCGGTAAGTTAACATTCTCTCTTGGTATGGTGGAGAGAGATATTGAGCTGGAGCAATATGTTTCTCCACAATACCAAGAGAGAATGTCAAATTTCCGCCGGTTCACGACAGGAGTGCAATAAATAGATTTACGGAAATATATGTACAGTTTAGTCCGCACTAATTGTGACCAGCGCCACACTCAGCTCCACGCAGTACACGTGTCATGCGCACTTCACGCATATCACGCTGACGTACGATGACATAGTGGAGCAGGTGAGCGTGTCCACTATGTGGGTACGTCCAAGTTGCTATATCACTCATACTCAGTGCAAACTGAGTGTTCGTGTTCATCTGGCCGTGGTTGTCACACAGTAAGAGCACCGGGTCACCATTCGCATTCGCTGAACCAATGCGTTGCGGACCGATGATATCTGCCCACACCGCTGCATTACGCCCAACGCGCGCGTTGAAATTACCCCAAAGAAATAGTCGGTCGCTCTTTGGCACAGACCGTATCACGGAGGCTAGCTGAGTGAAAAATCGGTCACGCGTGTCATCAGGACCGTACGTGCTTGTAAATGTGGTAAACTAACCTCTTCCGAATCGTAGGCGAACAGTCATCAGTCGCACGCTGATGCCAGTGGGCTCACCCAGCAGCTGTCAATTGAGCCCTTCGGATAGTGCAAATCCGACCCCATGTTCACCTGGTGCTGTGGTGGCGTTTCCCGCCTAGTGGAATGTATACTTGGCACCAACTTCCTGCGAATTACCTTGCTCGGCAGTCCCAGTCTAGCTGAGCGCCGCAATATCGATGTTGTAGCGCACCAGTTCCATCGCGACCAGTGCATTGCATCGCTGAGGGTGCTCACTCGTGTTCGGGGCTAGGAGTGTGCGGACCTTCCAACACCCAATGCTGAGTGCTTTGCTCGCAGGCATACGATTGCATTGGTGAGCAATCGGACGCGTAGTGACGGTTGTGTTACGGAGGTTTGCTTGAGGGAATCCGACCGGAGCCTTTGGCTCAATAGCCTGACCCACAAGCTAGTTGGTGGTTTGGAGGTTTGCTTTAGGGATTCCTCCCGGTGCTTCTGATTCGATAGCCTGACCCACAAGGAAGTGGTGAGCAGATCCAGCTCGAGAGTGTGATTGTAGAAACCCCTTGGGATCTGTCTGAGATCCGTCACACGCAGTCTTTGAGGTACGGGAACTATTCATATGTATTTTTCGACGGTTGTAGGATACGTACGTTCGATAACAGCTTTCAATGCGTACATGGGTCTCTTCCAATACTACTGACTTCTATTTAGATTGCTCGACACAGCAATATTTCATGGGGTTATTGAGTATTTGGTGATAGGAATAACGGTTGCATGTGCTTATCTAGTTGGTATTCCATCTTGTCGCACTGACATTTCTTTCTTTGGTTTTTCAACCTCCTTATGACCATGTACTCAGACTAAATCAGTCCAATCATACCCAATTCCGTCTACTCATTAGTAATCAAATCTAAGCCATACCAGTATTCCAAATTGCTGTGCGGATTCACAGCGCTGCCAAGCGAAGACCTGACCGTGGCAACCAACCACTGTCCTGCACGGCAGTGGAGGATGGGTCGGTCTATATCGCAGTTAGGTTTCAGTTCGTAGTGGTCGGCTGTTCTCCCGCATGGCTCGATGGCATAAGCTGCTGTCTAGTTGGCGTTAGCCTCTAGCGGTCTTTGGTTCTGTCCCCAGTAAAGTACCGATGGATGCGCACCACTGACGAGACCCAATGGGGCGAAACATGCGTCTAATGCTTTTCCGGATTGTTACTTTACTTATGCGACTTGGAATCTAGTTGCTATGAACCAAATAAAATCAATCCAAGTGTGTTTTTTGCTTACAGCATTCGTTTGAATAAACAAAGTTTGCACCCGCTAAGGGAAATTAGTAAGTCATCAGCCACACGCCATTTCGGCGCTTAGCTGCCGCGCGATGACTACCAGTAGCGCGTGACCTGAGTACACTTCGAAGACTCCCGCCCCTACGCGGATTCGAATCGGTGACCTTACGATAGCAAGTCAGACTCCTAGAGCACTCGGCCACTGACCGCTAAGGTAAAACATCTAGCTCATTCTTGACTCTTCGAAACAACGTAACATCAGTTACAATCCTTTTTTGGCAGGGTGACACACACTACCGTCGTTTCCTACCTGATTTACTTGCCTTCCTCGCACTCCTTTGCGCTTCACCGCGAAAAATCATCTTGTAGGGCAGTGGTCAGCTAAAGAACAAAAGTCGTTCGATGCTATCAAGGCAACCATGGATAAGGCTAATCTGCTAGTACATTTTGATCCGACGGGGCTCAACACTCTCCGATTTGACACCACCACCATTAGTTCTCAGCACCGTACTATCCCTTAATTTCGATGATCAGATCGAGAGACCCATTGCTTTTGCCTTCAGATGCTTAACGCCGGCAGAGAACTTCATCCATCTGGATATAGAGGCATTGGTAGTTCTCTCGTGTTAATAACATTTCCCAGTATCTTTTTGGAAGAATTTTCAAAGTCTTTACTATGCATCTACTTTTATTAGCCTTGATTGGTGAACGTCTAATAATAATAATACTAATAATAATAATCTCCTGTTTATCGTGATACCGAGAAACCATGTCTACGTAGGCACGGATCACATATGTGCAGCATGCTCATGCATGCATGGTGGTCAATGCTTGAGAGTTATCCAGGGCTGCAACAGGTAAGTTTGATAAGATCATTTGAGATTTCCACTGTCGTTTTCTTTCAGAACACGATCATCGTTAGTTTGTACCCGCGCAGATCGGGGTTCCCAATTCAGGCGGAGCCTTTACTGAAGGGGAGGAATAGTGAAAGGTGCTTTATCAATTGGAGCCATCGACCAAAATCAGATCAGTAGCACACAGTCGTACAAAATAGTCTAGAATAATATAGGTAGAGTTATCTGTACTTGTGCAGTTTTACTCATATGCGAATGAAAAGAGAAAGCTCGGACTAGTGTAGCTGCACGTGAATCTTCAAGCTTTCAGCCGCGTTAGCCGAATAGTGTAAGGTAGTAAGCACATATGGGCGCGATAGGGCAGTGAAGTGCGTGGACATCCGTAGATCTGGATATTAGGTTGACCTGATGGAACAAGATGTATTACAGACTTGTTGTAAGGCTTTAGTGAACATGAAATTTCCACTTTCAGTATTTTTGACACTGAATTTTATTCTTGTCTGTATCTCATGATCGTCCTTTTGTTCACCTCCGAATCCCCTGTGATTCGCTTGCTACCTTGCTCTGTGCTCTTGCTAATTTACTTCTAGTTCATTGCAGCTCTTTACAATACACGTTGGGCCGGGCTACATTCTCACTTCTGAATAATTGGTGTTCCTATTGGTTCCTTCCGGTTCTCGTCGCAACCAGTACCTGAGTTCCGCTCTACAATTGTTGACCCCGACTGCGAGCACGGTTCTGCAATTGCCAAAACCATTTTCGGTGAGCTCGTTCCTTTTCTCCTTTGAAGTGTGTTTTTGCAACTATTATTTTGTGATATTTTATGGCTCGCTCAGGTACTACCATTTTCGACAGCTATGTGACACGAATTGTCACATCGCTGTCTGTCCTCCCGTCCTATTTGATGGCCCTCCTTTTTGGTTTGTCTCGTTAGAGTCTAGGTAGGTAGGTACTCTTCCTAGGGACTTCGCTTTCCAGTTCAGAGCCACTCTTTCGAGACCAAATATAAGCCTGTAAGTCTCTTTAGCAGGAGATCGTGACCCGACTGGACCAACCAGCGAGTACGCGAATAAAACAGCTATTCCACGACTTGTATCTTGGAGACGCATGTCCATCCACCCTATTGAACGAGATGAAGAGACTCTTCGACTCGTACTTGATGGATGATTTCATTCTTCTGGAGCTTTAGCTTCAGCACCTACGCGCGATAGTTCAAGCTATCGTCATATCTGCCAAGGTCTCTTACTCTATCCGCGTGACTGACTGATGCGATCATGTATCATCTTCCTAAGAAGAAGACTGCGCAACACCACCCGCTACACACCAGCTGAATAGTCCTAGCGCGTCTAAGCAACCAACTACTTAATTCAAGTATCCTGCAGCCCCTCCCTCTGAGCTTAACATACTACCTAATGAACTAGAAGCGGTAAGCAGCGCTCTTTATTCTCATACAGCAGTCGATAACTCACCAGTGCGTAACAGCAATTCGATCAACCCCAGCAACCGACCAAGTAACAAACTATGCTAGTAGCACCGCCGCTTTGGCCTTCAGACGAAGCCATGAACTACTCCTTACACTTTCCACTCGACTTAATCGGGGAAACTACGAAGCCTCAAATCATATACCAATAACGTCACCTCCTACCTCTCCGGAAGTAGCATCCTTTAAATTCAGGACTGCAAACCTGGAACTTCATTACTGGTGGATACGGGGGTTGAAGTGAATGTGGTTCCACTCGCACCTGAGGAGGCAACTCGGTCGTCTACTCTCAGTCATCGTGCCGCCAACGAGTCACTCATCCCTATTTACGACCAAAGCTCTTTAACCCTTAAGTTGGGTCTCCGTAGTACCTTCTGCTGGGTGTTCATTATTGCCGACGTTCCGTTTGCCATCAGTCGTATAGACTTTCTTAGAAATTTCAACCTGTTGGTCGATGCGAAACAAATGAGGATAGTTGACCCCGCAACGACGCCCAGCCTCACTGGCACCAACGCCGGCATCTCAGCCATCACCCCAGTCTACCTTCACCCACGGACCTCTCCCGATTACGCCGAACATTTCTCCCATCACCCTAAGCTCGTTCAGCCAATGAACGCAGCTCTGCCTGTGGCATCTCAAGTCGCGCACCATATCCATACCAACGGCCCACCAGTCTCATCATGCCCGCGTTGCTTTTCGCCGGAGAAGCTCAAGCCAGCTAGGGCGGTGTTTGAACAAATGCTTGAATTTGGAAATATCCGTCAATCAGATAGTCACTGATCCACTCCACTCCAGATGGTCCCATAGAAATCTGGAAAATGGCGTCCTTGCGGTGACTACGGGGCATTAAATAAGCTTACGATCCCTGATAGGTACCCAATCCCACATTTGCAAGACCTTACTGCATGTCTTACAGGTAGACGGTCTTAAGCAAGATCGATCACGTTCGTGCCTTCTTTCTCCAGCTACCTGTGGAGGAAGCTGACATACCTAAAAGAATCGTCACTACGACCTTCAGCTTGTTCTAACTTTTACGAATGCCTGTTGGACTGTGCAACGCGGCACAGACGTTTCAGCGCTTTATCCACGAAGTCATTCGTGGCCTAAACTTCGCTTACCCATACCTCGACAACATTCTTGTAGCTAGTTCAAACGACGAAGAGTTAATCACTCAGCTCCAATTATTCTTTCAACGGCTGACCCAAGATTGCGTCACCGTTAACCCAACTAAGTGCGAACTTGGCAAGTCCATGGTAGAATTCCTAGGCTACCTCATCTCATCGTCTGGTAACGAGGTTCTTGCGGACAAGGTCCAGGCTATTAAAGAACTCCCGGCTCCGACTTCATTTAAACATCCCAATCGATTTCGTGACCTGGCCAACTACTGTCGTCGATTAGGCCTACGCTGCGCTCAACTTATGTAGCCCATAACTGATCTTCTCACACGAAACCAGCGTAAGTGCGCTTGCCCCGATACAGCTCACCTGACTTTCACCGAGCTCAAGGAGACTATCTCCAACATAGCTCTCCTCGCTCACTCCGAACCGTCTGCTCCCCTTCCTCTCACAACTGACGCTTCAGAGATTGCTCTAGGAGCTGTTCTCCAACAACACGTTGGTTGGCAATAGCATCCACTCAGTTTCTTCACCCAACCCCCTGAACCAGCAAAATCTCGCTACAGCATGTTTGATACAGAACTACTTGCCATCTACCAACACACATTAGGTCGGGCCATTACGGTCTACACTGGCTACAAGCCTCTCATTTTTGTCTTCGACTCATCTTCTGACAAATATTCAGCACTGGAAACTAGACTCCTAGACTGTCACGCAGTTCACTGATGACATACGCCATGTCTGTGGTCTCGCCAACCCCGTCCCTGACTCTCTCTCTCGCGTCAATCACACTCCTCCCTCTTTGCCTACTGACGACCACACCGCCATGCCATCGGCTCACGCCCAAAACGAAGACCTCCAACGCACCTTACAGTCCACTTCACTGCATGTACAACCCGTTTCTCTCCAAACTACGGACAGAACTATCCTTAGTGACACTTCCATAGGTGCTCCTAGATCCTCGTATCCGCCTCTTTCAGACGCACAGTCTTCGGCACCCTTCACTCACTGTCTCATCCTGGTATTCGGGCATCTTTAAAACTGGTCACCGAGCGCTTCGTTTGGCCAAGCGCAAATAAAGATGTTCGTAACTGGGCTCGAGTTTGTCTTCACTGCCAGCACTCCAAGGTACATCGACACACCCGTAGTCCTCTCGATTCATTCCCTGTGCTGGATTCGCGGCTCTCTCACGTACACTTAGACCTGGTAGGACCCTTGCTTCCCTTTCGCGAATCCGTATATATACTGGACATGGCCGGTACACTAAATGGCCAGAAGCCATCCCTGTATCAAACTGCACGGCCGAAACAGTCATTCGTGCGTTTTTAGACCATTGGGTGTCCCACTACGGATGCCCATCTACCATCACTACTGACCGTGGAACGCCTTTCGAGTCTTCGCGATTCGATACTTCCTGCAACTTCTTAGGCTGTCGCCGTATCCACACGACGGCATATCACCCAGCAGCGAATGGTCTAGTCGAACGCTTTCATCGACAGCTTAAGTCATCTCTTTGTGCCACTTCTGACCCTGACGGGAGCGAAAACATTCCATTAGTACTTCCAGGTATCCACAGTGGCATCAAAGCTGACCTGCAGTGCGCAACAGCAGAGTTGCTCTACGGCACAATCCTTAAGCCGTCGTGTATGCCACCGTTAAACTTCGCAACCTCTCTTTCTCAACGCATGCATTCGCTGCGTTCGACTCCTCCTCGTGAGCAGACCAGAGATGTGCAAATGCACAGTGGACTCTCTACCTGCACTCACGTTTTCGTCCACACAGACGCAGTGCGGCGTCCCTTTCAGTCTCCCTCCATCGGCCACTTCAGAGTTCCCCAACGAACTCCTAAGCATTTTACCTTAGACCAGTATGGTCACCGAGCAATGTGTCCATGGATCGTCTTAAGATGGCATTTTTCGAAGATCTGCCCCAATCTTACCTGGTACAGCCGCATTGGCAAAATCATCCGCAACTGCATCTTCCTCACCAGGTACCGTTGACCCATCTGTTACCTTTGACCCTCCGCTAACCTAGCCCCAACCCCAGTCAACTGATAGATGTCGTAGACAAGTCAAACGTCCGGCTCGCTTTTCAGATTTTGTTAACGTTTGCTATATTCCTTGACATGCATATTTTCCACCTTTCATGGTAATCGTGTGTTTCATTCACAAACGTTTTGCAAAATGACAGAAACCCTAAAACCTTTTTACAAGGACAAAACAAAAAGTGTACACATTTTCGTTTCGTACACTTGCCTCGATATCCATACGGCGTCACGCAGCCTATCGTGACCACGTCCCACCCTCCCCGAGTTTTACATTCTAGAACTCAAGTCCCTTGAGAAACCGCGGAATTCCCTGGCCACCTGCCCCAAGCCTCCGGCCCCATTATCCTGGCTCCAAGCGACCGCGACTCCCCACTACCGGTGCAACAACGACTGGTCTGGACCGTGAGTTTTGAGAAATGGTTCCCCAAAGACGACATCCGGGATTATTCGTGGGACGAGGATCGTTACGGCCGTTTACTGCGAGTGCGGTGGGGGAAGTGACACCTCCCAATCGCACCGTCGGACCACAGAGGAGTAAATGTCCTGTGGGCCTTTTTGCAGTCCTACCAGCCCGTCCCGAGGACACACCGATGATGCACTTTAATACACATTCAAATAATAAATAACAAATAACAAAGAAGCCGGGACCCAGCGAACTCCACGCGCCCTGTCTGTCCGCGTGCGCCTACTACAACTACTACTCTACTTTCCCATCCTCACTTTGTCCTCCCACCTGACATCACTATCGAAGGTTTCCCTCATTCAGCCTTCTAGATGAAGACTCCTGTAGTGAAAATGAAACATTCACGTTTTCGGTATTTTGACTTTGGATTTTATTCTTGTTTGTGTCTTCTGATCCTCCATTTGCTCACTTTCGAATCCTCTGTGATTCCCACGCTACCTTGCTCGGTGCTCTTGCTAATTTTCCTCTAGTTCATCGCAGCTTTTTGCAATACATGTTGGGCCCGGCTACTTTCTCACTTCTGAATAGTTGGTGTCCGTATTGGTTCCTACTGGTTTTCGTCGAAACCAGTACCTGAGTTCCGATCTACAAGCCTAAGTTGGCTCAGTTGCTTTCCTTTCAGCTTTGTAGGTGAAGATTTATGGTATGCCTAACCGTGCAACGGATGAGTTGATGTTGAGGTATGAGGAGTAGATAAATAAATAAACGTTTGTTCTGTTCAGTTGTAGACACACTCATCAAGGCATGTTGAACAAATGTCGGTCATGTATAAGCTATCGAACACAGGGTGATTAAGAACGCATAAAGAGAGCAAACGGCTTTTTCATAGCGTTAAAAGGGCACCGCATTAAAATCAAGAGCGTAGTCTAAAGAATAATGGATGATCTGCAAGACTAAATGGGTATAAGTGAAGTAATGAAGCACAAGTCCCATCAGATTCAATGCAAAAAGAGAAGTATGGAAAGAATAATCATGCGAAGGAATACGATCATCCGTCCGACTGCCTCCTTGGGACCTGAGGATTACTCCATCGATAGATTCTCCCCGCATCTTTACACTCCATCTTGTCATGTGTCGGCGTGGTTCAGAAGCGGGCTAGCCACCACCGATTTGAGTTATCATTTAGGTTTCTTTTTTCGTGATCTGCCCCGTCAGCCCGTTCATCATTCATTGTATTTTTGTCGCATGATCACCGATTTCATCGGAATTCGCGGGA